ATGCTTTGTTTGTTCGTGTGCGGGCGCCCCCTTTCTATGTGTTGCCGCCGCGACAGCGGCGCTGAATCCGAGCGACGTCCATCAATCAATCAATCAGTCAATCGATCAATCGATCGATTCAGATTGATCTTGATCCATCTAGATCGATGAAGATCGATGTTAATCGATCGATCGATTGATTGATTGATTGACAGCGGTCGAGGCGAGAGCGTCGGCGGACTCCCCCTTTCTCTCTCTCTCTCACACACACACACACACGCATACACACACACATAGACACACACACACACACACACACACAAAGACAATCAATCAATCAATCAATCGATCAATCGATCAATCGATAAATTAAGATCGATTAAGATCGATCTCGATCCATGTAGATTGATTAAGATTGATTGATTGATTGATTGATTGGTCAATTGACTGATCAGGATGGTCACCTCGTCCGCTTCGACCTCCGTTTCCGCCACCTCGCCCTTCCACCCCGCTTAGAATCAATCAATCAATGCGTGGGGGCAGGGAAGCGGCCCCGCTTCATTTTTTTGACTTTTTTTTCTTTCGATTCATTCATTGTTTGATTGATTGATTGATTGATTGATTGAGTGGCGGCCGAGTGGTCGCCCCCCCACACGTGGGGATGGCAGTCGACCCCAGTCAATCAATCAATCAATCAATGAATCAATGAATTAATGAATCAATCAATCAATCAATCCATCCATCCATCAATTAATCAATAAATCAATCAATCAATCAATCAAGATTGGTTTATTGATTGATTGATTGATTGATTGATAAAGTTTTAGAAAATTGATTGATTGATTGATCGGTTGATTGATTGATTGATCCCGATCGGTTGATTGATTGATTGATTAAGAGTTAGAAAATTGATTGATCGGTTGTTTGATCCCAATTCCGAACCCAATTCGGGCATTGTCGCCGATGTCCTTCTGCCTCCGCTTCCACTTTCCCCCCTTTTCCACCCCACTTCCAATCAATCAATCAAGATTGGTTGATTGATTGATTGATTGATTGATTGATTAAAACTTAGAAACAAAGCGTCGGTTTCCCCGCCGGTTCCGCTTCGACCTGCGCTTCCACCACCTCCCCCTTCCACCCCGCTTTGAATCAATCAATGAATGCAAGGGGGGGGGGAAGCGTCCCCGCTTCGCTTTTTTTTGCACTATTTTTTCTTTCGAATGATTGATTGATTGAGTGGCGGGAGAGTGGTCGCCCCCCCACACGTGGGGATGGCAGTCGACCCCAGTCAATCAATCAATCAATCAATCGATCCATCCATCCATCCATCCATTCATCAATCAATCAATCAATCAATCAAGATTGGTTAATTGATTGATTGATTGATTGATTGATGGAAACTTAGAAAAAAAACAAACGAAGAAATTTTTTTTATTTATTTTTTTTTATATTGATTGATTGGTGGAGATGGGTGGAGGCAGATCGCGCTGCCCTTCCAGCAGCCGGCAATGCATCGTTTTTAAAATTTTCAAAGAACTAACAAAAGAGAAAAACCAAAAAAAGTAAAGGAAAAAAAAAAAGGAGGAGAAGAATAGTGAAAAAGAAAAAAAGGAAAAGAGAAAAAAAAAGAAGAAGAAAAAAGAAAAAGAAAGAGAAAGAAAGAAAGAAAGAAGAAGAAGAAGAAGAAGAACGAAGAGGAGGAGCGTCGGACGTGGTAGTATTATTATGCAAAGGTCAGTGTTATACAAACACGTGGCGTGCATGCCAACTTGCGTGTCCTCTCTCTCTCTCTCTCTCTCTCTCATTCGGATTCCCTAATATGTACAGGTGTCCTCTCTCCCGTGCGCGCACCCCTCTTTGCGTGCCCTCTCTCTCTCTCTCTCTCCCTTTCTCTCTCTCTCTCATTCACTCTCTTCCTATCTTCGGATCCGCTGATATGTACAGGTGTCCGCGCTGACGTGGCACGCACGTGGCGCGAACGAGTTGGGGGTTCTGTGGATGATGACGTGGTGCGCACGTGGCGTTGACGTGCCACGCGCGTGGTGCGATCGTCTTCCTTTGCTGATGTGTCGATCCTGACGTGGCGAACGCTGACATGCCGATGCTGACGTTCCGATGTAGGAAGGCTGACGTGCTGATCTCTCTCTCTCTCTCTCTCTCTCTCTCTCTCTCTCTCTCTCTCTCTCTCTCTCTCTCTCTCTCTCTCTCTCTCTCTCTCTCT